GTCTAACTAAGACTTGATCATCACGGCGCCATAAAGTGACATCAGAACACTTTTTACAAGTACAAGTACACACACATGGCACTGTAACCGATACCTCATACTTGTATCGGTGTTTGTGTATTCCTATTAATACAGGTTGACTGAATAATCGGTCTAAGAAGAGAGAAAGGTAATTTATTTGTTCTGTTTTTGGTTGAAGGAATACTTGTCAGCGTTGAGAGATGTTCGGGCAGAACTTTCATAAACTTTGACAAAATAAATAATTCTGACAGCCGTGTGGACTCGCGCCTTGAATACTCGTGCTGCTCCTGAGTCGATCTCACCTCTGTGTCTCGCTGCTCTTCGTAACGTCTGCCCTCTAACGTTCCTCAGACTTTCATCTCTGTTTTTTTTTCCCAGTAACTTTAAAGGCAACGTGACGTCTTCCCTCTCGTGCTCACCTCGTCTCTTTCTCACATCTCTCCGTCTAATCATTCGTCTCCTTTGTTCTTCATTACTTCTTGATGATACTTATTCTTTCTCTCAGTACTTTTGGCTCTCTCTTTTCCTCTCTTCTGATTCTTATCTTATTCACCCGTGTCTCTTTTCCTCTCATCTTGTCTTCTCCCTCAACTTTGATGCTACCTGTTGGTAATTTCACCTTTTTGGTCTCTGCCTTCCTTACCCCGCCCTCCCTACGCTTCTTAAATATTCGCTCTCACCCTTTTGCTCCTTTGTCTGTCAGTGCTCCTGTTGCTGTCTTCTTGTACCTGTTTTTGTTTTTTCCTTCAGCTCCTTTTTATCCCTATCTCCCTTCTCATTATTTGTCTTACTTCTTTTTTTTTTTTCTCACTCCCCTTTAAACCTCCTTCATTCCTATTTGCTCTCTGGCACCTCATCGTCTCTTTACTCAACCGTATTTCATGTTACTTTGCCTTTATTTTGGTTTTTCTCTGCCTAAATCAAACGGAAGGGAACATTTGTGCATGTATTTGCATTATGTGGAAAAAGACGCAGCAATTAAGTGATGGGATTTATTTAAATTTGTTTCCCTGTTTGTGTGATTCATGATGCCTAATTTATAGCGTTTCATTTATTTGTGCTGTGGGAAACGACTCCCGTCAGCCGTCTGAATGAAACTTTCATCCTACAAATTGATTACCAATCATTAATGTGGCAGATCATTGATTTAAGAAATTGCTTAAATTAAAATTGCATCCCTTTTCCTGACATTCTGTTGTCGTAGCAGAACGCCTTTTGGTGAACACAACAAATGAACAATGCTCGTGTGAAACTTCTCACGAGCACAGAGATGGTCTGATTAGATTTTCCTGCACCTTGCTGCATTATTTTGCATATTAATAAGGGATAACCAATTTTCCTTGTAGCTCCCACAGAGCTTTAAAGCTTAAAGTTATGAATTAATATCAGTACATACATATTAATAGAGATCCATTTATTGGTAATTAATGCATAACTTGGCTTAATGACCTTACAGGTATAACTTATTGTGTTTAAAATGAGACTGTTTTCAAACAACCTGTTAGTGCTAATGCGCCTCCTCTGATAAGCTTCTTCAGATTTCACTTGCAGATACATTTCCAGCCTGTTTTTGTTGTAACGTTGAACATCTGAAGAATCCTGGTGGACCCACACAAACCTCCCTCTGATGTGTTTATAGATGAGACACAGCTTCATGTTGTATCCCAGTTTCAGTGGCCAGTTAAACCTGACCAGTGTTTTCCTGCTCAGGAAACTGAATGTCAACCGCAAAAGCATCTTGGACCTTGTTCACATGGAAACAGTTTTTATATTTACCTTTTGTTCATCGTTTCTAAAAATATCCTCGTACACACAGCAACGTTTCGAGAAAGGTCTTCACACAGAAATACTGAAAATGATCTAAAACTTAATTGAATTACTTTATTAACCCCCCAGAAAAAAAACTGTTTGGTTTTTAACGCTCTATTAGTAAAAGTACATTTAAATAAAAATACAGTAGTCCCTCTTTTATCGATGGGGATCCGTACCCTGAAGCCCCGTGATAAGTGAAAAACCATGAAGTAGGAATACAAGTACAAAGAGTAAAAGTTTAAGTAAAAGTACAAGTAGTAAGTAGGGATGCACCGATCCACATTTTTTTACTTCTGAGCCCGATACCTAAATCTGGATATCGGCCGATACCGATCCAGTTCCGATATCATGATCATCATTGATTTTATGAGGCTGTAATAATCTCCTCTCAAGTACAATCTGTACAAATATATGCATGCATGTCCAAAAAGGCAACTTGAGGTAAGTTTTATTAATGTTGGATAAGTTTTAAAGTTAGAATTAAATTCTGCTAACACGACACATGTTTTTTTTTTAAATTCCTAGCTTTAAAGTGATTAATTTAAGTGATTGTTTAAAGTTATTTTATATTTTTTAAATAAGGGGCAGATATAAGAATTTTTTTTCTTCTTTCTGCGCTCTTTTCATTCATTGTTTTCTTTTTGATGAATTTGTTTTGTTTATTGTGTTTCTTTTAAATGAATGAATAGATGAATAAAATAAAATGTTAAATGGCTTTAAACATCTGCTAAGTTCATGGCATAAACCAACACAGACATGTTCTTGTTTTTAGTATTTTACATCACTTTATAATGTAGCTGCTTTTGATTCGTTTCTTTTTTTAATATATAATAATTTTCTTGTAATTTTAAAATCATGTTTTTTTATGATTGTCTACTGTTGTACTGATAAATATCTCCTGGAGGGTAAACTATATCTTGACTGCAAGTATCAAGCTGCGAAATCCTTCGTTTTCTACAGCTGATAGCGGTTGGTCATTAATTACCATGAAGTTTAGCAACTTCTCGGTAAACAATCGAGCTCCGGGGCTTCAGCGATGTGTTTTTCTTGTTCAGTCCGGGGCGGGCAGTCTGATTGCGGTCAGTATGCCCCTCCTCAGAGACGGGCAGATTGGACACGGCTGGCCGGTGTCGAGCTGCCTGTTTCGGGTTGAGCAGGAATAGCGCCCCGCTGAAACCCCAGACTTCTACAAATAATACGCAAAAACAGAACACAAGGAGTGGAGCATGCACTTTTAGCTGGTTTGTTTGGTGTGCAATGTAAACACAAGACGAGGATACTCTCAAGTTCAAGTAAATTTTATTGTCATTTCCAGCACATGTGATACATGAAGTGGAACAAAATTATGTACACAGGGTCCCAGTTACTCCAAAAAATAGCAAAGTATATAAAAAAAAAAGAAACTGTAAATAAGGATCTAAGATATACACTTAAAAAATGGCAAAACGGCACGCTAAAGGTCTAAGGTATACGCTAAACACTAATAATGTTAAACAATACGCCGTTAAAACAGCAGCCCGAACATGAGTCCGTGGTGAGCAGATGGACACGAATGAATACAGCGGCATGAAATCAGCAGCATGTATAATCAGCAGCACAGTCACATCACCTCTCAGGTTGTAGGCTAGATTAGAGGGTAGTTTATGACTTCAAAAACTTGCGTTCTGGTTGTCTACACTAAAACAAGGGTGGCATTTCAACATTTTATCACTTCAAGGTTTCAAGGTTCTTTGTCATACGTGTGGTACATGAGGTGGAACGAAATTGTGTACACAGGGTCCCAGTTACATCCAAAAGTAAAATGTAAAAGGAAAAACAGTAATAAGATCTAAGATATGACCTAAGAAAAGCATTAACTAAAAATACACTAAGCGCTAGTAGTACAAAAACAACAAAAACAATACACCAAACAGCAGCAAGAACATGAGTCTGTGTGAGCAGATGAGTATGAATGAACACATGAACATGACATGGATCAGCAGCAACATGATGTGATTTTTCACTGTGATTATTCTGGCTAGACATTCATGAGTCTAACAACCTCAGGGTAGAAGCTGTTCCTCAGTCTAGTGGTTCTACACTTAATGCTCCTCAACCTCCTGTCTAAGGGGAGCGGGGCAAAAGTGTATGCTGGGTGAGTGGGGTCCTTCATGATGCAAATGGCCCTCTTCCTGCATCTGGAGGTGTAGATGTCTGATGGTGGGGAGGTTTGGGAACCCATTTTCAAAAATTGTCATTCTGGGGCTTCTGAATTGTTTCTTTATGGATGCAAGACTGAAACAATAAAAAATTAATAATAATATTCATAAAAATTGTTCCCATGTGAATGACGACTCGGTTATTCCAGACAGGATAATGCAACAAACAAACTGAACGTTTGTCGTGAAGCTTTTGTCAAAATGTTGTACTCAGTCGTGGTCAGAAGAGTTGGAGTTTGATAACAGGTCTGTTAAAAAGTAGCAACGTATAGGCTGTCATAGAAAATAAGATTACGTGTCTTTACGTCCTTGTTAGTGTCATTTTATCTATAAAGGACATTTAAAGCAGTTTCTTCAAATCAAGAACAATAACAAATATTTTGCTTTTAAACATTTAACTATTGTAGTTCAAAATAATAAAATGGTTCATAAGTGATGACATTCCAATCATGCTCAGTCAGGTCATCTGGACAGTTTCTTTTTTTGTGGAAAGACGTTTCGCCCTCTATCCAGAGGTCTTCATCAGTCTGAGGAGTCCCAAGTAAACTGTTATCCCCACTAAGCAGTAAACTCCATTGGACCAACCAGTTTGCTGGTGATAAGATGGTTTCTGGGGGCTGCAAGACATTCCAGTTTAGATTACGACAACACATGAGAATACAATTTAGGTTTCAAGGTAGACTAGAAGTGATACGCACTGAAAAGCAGTTGTGTGTTGAGACTTTGTAAAAGCATTTACAAATCTTATATAAAGTGCAAATTGTTCCACAAAATCCCATCTGCAAAGGTGATTACCTCCCACTGATTTAAACCTACAACCAAGAATTTATTTCTTATTCTTTGACGGTTTCCTATTTGCAGCTGCAGATGTTGTTTTTGCAGATTGTAGTTTTTAAATTAACGTTCTGTCCTATTTTCCATCTCGTATATTTTATTAATTTGCTTTCTGCTCTGTTCTTTCCCCCACAGACAAAGAAGGACTCTGTGGTGTCTTGTGTTCTGGACACCGAGGCCGTTGCATGGGATCGTGAGAAGAAACAGATCCAACCCTTCCAGGTCCTCACCACCCGGAAAAGAAAGGTACAGATGGAAATGGGATATAATAAAGAGAAGGGAAAGAAGATTAAAACATGTGCTTTTTTTTCGTAAAGGTAGAGAGCAAGAGATAATGAGAGAAGAAGGAAGGTGTGAAAAGGTTAAGAAGAGAAAACAAGACTGAGATGAAGACCTGAAGGTTGAGGAGAGCAAGATAATAGAGTGAAATGATCCGACATACTGAGGGAGATGGACAGAAGAGGAGCTAAAAAAAAATTGGTGGGAGACTGATGGGTTGGAGACAGAAGAGTGAAATGGATCGAGAAGGGTGGGGGGTGGGATTGAAAATGTCAGCAAGGTGTTTATTCAGTTTTGATCAGAATAACGGCCTCTTTCCACTACACCAATCACATTAGGCTGAAACAGCTCCCTTCACCTTGTCTGTTGAAATGCATAATGGAAACCTGGTAAATTAGGAAAAGCAGAAATGCCTGTGCATATATGGAGAACGTGATGAAGGAAATGGCCAAAATGATTACGATGATGATTTTTCCTTTTCGCTAGATACTTTTTGCTGCTATTATGCAATCATAATTATGTGTAATGATAGTTTGATTCACAAACTGATTGTGCGCTGCCCCTCCGGTATTCTGTAACAACATCTCTGCTGTTTTACTTCCACAGGCACATCTTACTGGAATGAAATATTCCAGAAGAGAAGATGAAACCCGATATGCTTTAATTAACAATCATTAATGAGCAAAAAATAATGGAGGAGGAGAGGGAGAGACGTATCTTTCCTATTTAAGGAGGACATAAAAATTATACATTCACGCCTGCTTGAGCAAATATATATCTGGGTGTCTAAAGTCATTAGTCTTTGGAAAAAGTAGAACAAAGTTGGGACCGCCTTGGTTTGACAAATATTCAGTACGCTGTTAAGATTTGAGAAAATGCATTACATGTCGTCCTTAAAAATAACATTATTTTTATCTTAATAATTCTTATTTTAACCGTGTAACCATTTTTAAAACCATTTAATAGTAGGCCTCATCAATCATTATATTGTCTTTTAGTCATTTATGACCACGGTTTTTATCTCTTTGTAACAGAAATAAGTAAATATGCTGTTTGTGATAAGTTAATCACTTGGTGTTTTGCGACCAACAATGTGGTCCTATAGCTGCAACTTTGGGAACCACTGACCTAAAACACTCATGAGCAACGTATAGCTCAGGAGCCAGATGGAGATCTTTGGTGATCTCCATCTGGCTCTCGAAGCCTTGAAATAAACACAACATCTTCAGACAATGAAAAACAATTTTTAATAAATCTTCAAACAAATTTAAAAGTGAATGTTGCTTTGTTCGAAGAGTTGTTGTTGTTTGTAGGAATAGTAGTAGGAGCAGTTGTAGTTGTGGTAGTAGCAGTAGAAGTGGTAGTAGTACTAGTAGTAGCAGTTGTAGTTGTGGTAGTAGTAGTAATAATAGCAGTTGTAGTT